TTTCCTTACATTAAAAACGATATGCATATCGTTATAGCGTTACACTTCAGATAACAATTCAAACGAATTTAATATCTTTTTCTTTCAGTAACAACGATATCCATATCATTTCCTCTAAAATCATAACTAAAACGATATCGGTTTCGTTTCCTTACATTAAAAACGATATGCATATCGTTATGGCATTACACTTCAAATAACAACTCAAATGAATTTCGTATCGTTTCCTTTCATTAAAAAGGGATCCGTATCGTTTCATCAAAAATCATAACTAAAACGACGCTTATATCGTTTCCCTTCATATAAAACGATAATGGTATCGTTATAGTGTTAAATCAAAAAAATAAAGTAACGACATCCATGTCGTTTGAGAACAAATTTGACGAGCTTGAACTCGTTTCAGACGAAATTGTAACTAAAACGCTTTCGATCTCGTTTCTCTGCACTAACACGACAACGATATCGTTATAGTGCAAAACACAAAAAATTACATAACAATATCAATATCGTTTTAGTACAAATGTTACGAGTTAGAAATCGTTACAATTCAAATAATGACAATAACGACGTTGGTATCGTAATAACGATAATGTACTCGTTCCATTGAAAATCATAACTAATACGACACTGAAGTCGTTTCCTTTCATGCCAAACAATTCGACTGTCCACGATCATTCAACATACCGTCAATATATATATGATGATCGAAAGAGGACATCGAGGGAGATGATAACAATCAAATGGTTCAGAAAGTACGAACGGAGACACTTCCATTCTATCTTATGCCCTCAAAGGTGATAGACAACAATAGAACACAAATGCTCCAATTAATTACGTTAAGCGAAATCGAATTCGCATAGTGTCTTATTTTTATCGTCTTACGTACGATGGACGTATGTCAGGTGGTCGTGGATGATTGAATCGTCGTTTCTAATCGAAACGATATGGATGTCGTTTCAAACGTAAAGGAACGATAGTGAAGTCGTTTTACTCACGATTTCATCTGAAACGAGTTCAAATTCGTCAAATTTGTTCTCAAACGACATGGATGTCGTTACTTTATTTCTTTGATTTAACACTACAACGATACTATTGTCGTTTTATATGAAAGGAAACGATATAAGTGTCATTTTAGTTATGATTTTAGATGAAACGATACGGATTCCCTTTTTAATGAAAGGAAACGATATGAAATTCATTTGAGTTGTTATTTGAAGTGTAATGCTTTGACGATATGCAATTCGTTTTTAATGAAAGGAAACGAATTTGATATCGTTTTAGTTATGATTTTAGAGGAAACGATATGGACATCGTTCTATTACTGAACTAAAACGATATCTAAGTCGTTCGAATTGTTATCTGAAGTGTAAAGCTATAACGATATGAATATCGTTTTGAATGAAAGGAAACTACTTTGATATCGTTTTTGTTATGATTTTAGATGAAGCGATATATATATCGTTTTGAATAAAAGGAAACAATTTCCTGGAAAGTCGTTTTTTTGTTACGAGAACGATGTCAATATCGTTACGACGATTAGCGAAGCAGTGTGTATTTCATATTGAAACGATATTGAAGTTGTTTTTGGTTACAGGAACGATGTCCATATCGTTACGAACATCAACGTGTATTTCATACTGAAACGATATCAAAGTCGTTTGTTTGTTACGGGAACGATTTCAATATCGTTACGACGATTAGTGAAAGAGTGTGTATTTCATATTGAAACGATATTGAAGTCGTTTTTGGTTACATGAACGATGTCTATATCGCTACGAACATCAGCGTGTATTTCATA